GGTACGGCTTACTTCCAGAGCCCGGGAAATATTTTTGGACCCAAGCCTTAGCTTTCATTTTCTCATTAGTATTCGGTAAAGATTGCAGGACAAGGTTTTTGGTTTGGGGTTGGTTGGGTTTTTTTTTTTTTTTATGCTTTACATTTTAAATTTATCATTTCGAGAGAAAAAAAAAAGTGTATGCAGAGGTTCCTGAAAGTTTCTCTGCTTATCAGCTATCTCATACGTAGATAATAAACTCTATGAGGCATGACACTATTTAAAAAATATTTGTTTTTATGGCATTTTACAACCCTACATTCGTGTGCGTAACTATTCTGGGAGAGTACTAGAAAATAAATTGAAATGAGTGGCAACCTGAAAGATATGGGGTCATTGTGTGCGATTCAGAACAACAGGAAAAAAAAAAAAAAAAGAAAAAAAGTACATGTTTCTCCAGTTCAGTTTCTTTACAAGAGTGTGTTTCAAGTGGAAGTGTAGAAATGGAGCATGCTTATGTTTATATTGAAGAGATTAGATAAACTAGCCTGTTTAGGGTTCTGGCAGATGGCGAATGCTCAAGCCAATTTGCAGTGCTCCATTATAATATTTAAATTCACACACAATGATAGGACAGAGGTGGAGGGGGTTAGCATTTTGATAATTTGATAACTATTATCTTCCCTAAGAAGAATCTCCTCTTGCTTTTGTGGCCCAAAAAACAAACTCAAATAAATATGACAACCCATTTATCTTGCACCCGTTAGGGTTTACCACTTCATTGGGTATTATAATTTAAAGCCTTTTATTTCCTGGAGATTTGAGCTATAACATTTTTACTTTAGCCCCCTGCTATTTGTTTTGAAAGGAAGCAATAATTTGTGCAACCAGAACACCAACTGGGAAATGAAGAGTTGTATCACATAGTTACATTTTATTCATGCGTTTTGGGAAATGTGTCTCCTTATTGGATTTTTTTTTTTTTTTTTTTTTTTTTTTTTTTTTTTTTTTTTTTTTTTTTTTTTTTTTTTTTTGTATATTAGCTAGCTTGTTTTCCCAACAAAACTTTAACACTCTTTTATGGCTTAGTCAAACTACCGTGTGTGTACACATTTATATTTACACTGTGCAAGGTTCCAGCAGGAAGGAACCCACTTTTAATCATAAAAAAGGAAAAGCTTTAAAAAAAATGGCTAATATAAACATGCGAGACTATCAAAAAAACGAGCCATCATTTGTGAGCATCTACCTGAAAATGTAGTAGTTCAAGCATGCAAATTTGTCCAATTTGACTCTCCAGGTTTATTTTTTCATTTGCTTTGATATGCATATTTAATATATAGCCTCGGGCTAGATCTCATTTGGTGAAAGTTGGTGCAGGGGTGATGATGAGCCACTTCAGAAGGACAGAGACAGCATGTTGTTTCCTCTGTTTTATGTATTGGCCCACTATTCTGATCCAGGGCTCTTCCCCTCATGGTTTTATTTGCACATGAAATACTGGGAGCATTTCAACTGATTGGCTGTGAATAATGATAGCCAAAAAAGAAGTGTAGTTTAATTTGTTGCGTGCCAAGGTTTCTCTTGTGGAGGTGACAGTTTGTGACAGCTGTTTGACACCCCAAAAATCCGTACACCTCTATTCTTATTAAGCGCTATGAAGCTACGCGGTGTGTGTTTAATGTGGATGCGCGGGGTGGTAGCCGTGACAGTGGCAGTGCTGAACTAAGGCAGCTCCCAGTTTTATTCCTTTACTAGACCTGAAAACAGCCATAAGGGAAAGTAACAGAAAGAATTGTAGGATTAGCCAATATTTACCGTAAGACTTTAAACGGGGTACTCAAATAGTGCATGCTTCCCTTCTCAAAAATCTACTGCTCCACTATTTATATAACTTAATTGGAAACCAAAACCAAAATCAACAAAGGAATGAACTCTTCAGAGATATACCTGTGCTGGAAAAAGGAGACAGCTGTAAGCGGTTGTGCTATACGTGTTTGGTAATAAATGTGTTTATCGAATTTTATTTTAGTGCGCTATTAACTCTTATGTAATACAGTAAGTGTAAAGGGTCCAGGGACTTGGTAGATCAAATAGTGCAGTGCTGGCCACAAGAAGCTGAAACTTTTGTTATTACTCTGCTGTGTTTAGTAAATATAACAGCCCATAATTAGTGTTTGAATTTTTAACACCCTCATATTTTTTTATTGCTCTGAGGTATTAGCTGTAGATGGGAAGAAGGTAATTACAGCTATGCCCTGGCTGAACCAGATCAGTTTGGGGGGGGGGAAGGGGGTGGAACCAGAAAAGAGGAAAGAAACCTTTCCAGCTGCAGTTCAAGTTGAGTTTCCCAGCACAGACAATTTATTATTGTTCAATATAAACATTCTGGGCCCTATCCTGCATTCTGTGTTCAGCCTAAAATATCTGTTCAGATTGCCAACAAATCTTTTTTTTTTTTTTTTCCCATTTCAAGCTATTCAAATCTGAAAAGTGCATTGCTTGTAAAATTCGGAGATTTTTAAACTGTTTTGAGCATATGATAACATTTTGTCCCTTAATTACATCTCTTTTGTACCTGGCCTCACCTGGTGCCACACAATTCTTCCTTTAGCACAAACTTACTTTGAAGCTGAGTAATTCTCCTGTAGAAATTTATAGCTCTCCTGCTGGCTTTTGTGGGAGCAGGATCAGGTCCTCAGTCTTTTTGATATTTGTTTATACGTTCTAGTCGATTTGCAGCTGAGAGGTAATAATATACAGATCATCATTCATAAAATATAATTAAAAATGGATAGAAATATACATACATCTCTTTTTTATAAAAGGGCTGTTGACAGATTAGAAATCTGATGCTTTAGCTGCAGAAGAGAAATATTAGTCTGAATATTAAACCTTTCAGCTCTCACATGAGGAGATACTTCTATTTTGTACTTTTGGACATTCAGACATTTTACATTTCTTTAAGATTTCTTCTCGAAGTACAGTCTGTGCAAATTCCTGACATCTTGCAGATGAGAAAAAAATTAAAACAGGGCAATACATATCTGTTCCAATTATACAATTAAACCTTTAGGTGAGATTTCACTGAGAAATAAAAAAGTAATTGGGGGCCCAATGCTGCAGCCTCCAGGTGTGCCACACTTTGACGGACTTTAGTAGAAGTTTTGGGTATTCCAGAAACTCAGGATCAGATCCCAAAGGTGCCCTTTCTGTTTGTAGAGTGTCAGAAGGGAAAATAAGTAGCTAGCTGCAACAATAAGGCAAACTTTTTTCTTTAATAACCAAATTTCATAGTGTGTGGCTTAAGATTTACGATGTTAAGGTAGGCCCTGTGCTTTCTGAAGGGGTAAGAAGCATCAGGAACTTTCTGACACTGTAGAGAATGTTGTGTATTTCCTCTTCTTGACAGGCCAAGGTACTCTGCAAGGGTACTCTACGGCTCAAATTTGAGTGTTATAATTTTACATTGCATTCTCTCAAACTGAACTGATAATGTATTTCATTATCTATTTGACAATGGTGTTCCCTCTTTGGTTTGAGTTGTCTATCAGTCTAGATGAAGTGTAGCCACACAGAATGACGTAGAAGAATGATTAAAAAAACAACAAAACCCCGATTTTTCAAGTCTCAGTTCCCTGCTGACAGGTGGATTACATGTCTGATTTCAATCTTAATTGGAAAATACAAAGCACACAGCTTTTCAGAACGTTGCCATGTTCTAGGAGTGTTGAAAATTCCTCCTGACACTCTCCTCAAATGCAAAATCAAGGGACAAGAATTAGAACCTGCACATAT